ATTTTTTTTAAATTTTATTATCAATAATTACTCTCTTACTGGACATATAAAATGATCCCTCCTCTCTTAATATTTTCGATATCTCAAACACCACTTATGTGGTAGAGAGATCCAAGAGACCTAACTTTGCGTAATGAAATAAGGCATTATCAATCAAACAATCTCTTTCTCAATTCATAGATTTATACATTTTTTGTATAGACACAAAAACACTTTCTTTTCTCACTATCTCTTTCTCAGTTAATATATTTATCTAGCTATGTAACTATCTCTTGTCTAAATCTCTATTCTACTTTGTCTCAATCTTCATCTTTAATGTCTATTTTTTTCTATGGTTTTGAACTTTCTTGAAATTTCTTTTTCTTTTTCTTATCTATGGCCATATAATATCTTACCTATGCACAATGCACATGTAAGTTGACCTCTCTCTCATTTGCTCTTGCGTACTATTCTCCTCTCCCTCTCTCTTTTGTCTCTCTCTCTCTCTCTCTCTCAAGTTTGACAAGAACTGGTATAGATACTGCAGGTTACGCAATAAAAATAACAACCTTATAAGAAATAAACGACATCAAAATAAAGCCTTATGTCAAAATATCCTAAAGACTTCGTGAAAATTATAAATAAACAAATAAATTTAAACCATTGGTGCAAATAAAAGATTAGGCGCCTTTTATAACAACTCTTTATACCGCCCATCTAGAAAAATTCATTTTTAAAAATTAAAAAAAGTAGAAATTATTAAAAAAGTAAATACCATAAATTCAAAAACACTGGACCAGATGATATACTCATTTCATTGCTGAGATCAATTAACCTATCCTGTAATGTAGTTAATTGGTTTAGATCTAATAATTAAACAATTATTCTAATTGGGTATTTACCAATCTTGGGCCCTCAAGGTTCAACGCAATCGGCTTTACTGTTTATCCTTAAAAAAATTACTAACTGCCTCTTTTGTGTGTAGGTCGATGACCTGAATATTAGTATGAAAAATCACAATTATCAAGTATAAATGAAAGCATACTAAAACTAAATAGCGACGTAAAAACGTTTAAAAAATAGAGCGATGATCATGGTTTATCAATTAATATTAAAAGCTGTAAAACTATATTATTAGAACATCACCAACATTTTGCAAATTTAAAGAAAGATAATATTGTAGATATCAAAATGGATGATAGTATATTAATTTTAAACAACGAAATAAAAATTCTAGGCTTAGTAATAGATAAGTATTTAACTGGAATACACATATTGATAAGTTTGTAGCAAAATACATTCAATTGTGTAACAATTAAAAATAACTATTTAATATTAATAATACATACATGAAGCTAAAGATTTTTAATGCACTAATGCTTCAAAACATAACTTATACCCTTGCAGTAATTTCTTTCTACTAAAAATCTTCATAAGTTACATGTAATTATAAATATGTGTATTCGCTATAACTATGATTCTAGAATTTATGACAAATGCTATAGTTTATCCATTTTAAAAATTTATTATTTATTAAAATGAAAAATTTGACTATTTTCATAACACCATTATACCTATTTGATATTGTTTCTCATTTTAAAGTTAAAAAAAAAATTAGTTTTAAACGTCCTCTAATTGCATTTAAAATGCCGTTGTGTCGTACCCACTACTTTTATAATTCATTCTTTCCTAAACCTATAAAACTTTACAACAATTTATCCAATCATGTAAATCTAAACATATTTATAAGAAACATCTAAAATGCTTTTCTCTCGTGAGATTACGTTCAGTCATGCTCTGTACAACATCAATAATATTTAAAAATATAGGTATACAGGATAAAAATTATATTTGTATTATACGTATTTTGCATTTTTAATTATGTAAATTTTATTTGTATGTACGAATGCTCGTCAAATGTAAGAAAGGTCCATGACACTTAATTTTAACTCTCTCTCTCTCTCTCTCGCTCTCACACACACACACACACACACACACACACACACACACACACACACACACACACACACACACATACACATACACACTTTAAAACAAAAAGATTTTATGTATGTTATATTCATGTACAAATACACAAATACAAATTCACACTTTATAAATGCTCCTTTATATGCAAGGTCTTCTGCGTTGGTAATTTGTAGTTTAAGAATTAAAGTTGTTGAGGACAGAGTCCGATGATAAGGTTTTTATCTTTGAAGTAAATAATGATGTGGAATGCAGTGAGATAGTTCGTCTTTCTTTTATTTGTCCTTCTACTTAATTAAGTGAAAGACAAACAAAAGAAAGAAGGCCTGTAAGCATTTATGTTATCTAAAATGTAATTATGTTTTTTTTAAATTTTATCATTTTATTTTGCTTTTTCTAAGTCGTGTCAAGCATTTAACAATAATTATAATCTCTCCATAAATCACGGACTTTTTTTTACGTTATGTGGTACTTTTGTTAATTTGTAATTCAACAATAAGAAAACAACTGGTCCATATGGATTTAGGCAATTGTACTGATTCATGCCAAAATTGTTATTCATGTTTAACATTTTTCAGTTTTGGGCTCCAAATAATTGCCTAATACATAGGTAAATGTAATCGAACGGCTGTTAATCACCATATTAAATAAGCATTCATGCATGGAAAGGTAAGTGGAAGAAGTTCAGTTTAGATAGCAATATCTCGGTCAGTTTGATAGGGAAAAAAAGGAATGAGCGCAACGCCTTTTTTGAACGACGTGTTTCTGAAAGGGAAAAGACCTGGATTCCCGAGCCTGTTGGGTCGCAAATCAAGTAGAGAAGACCGGTAGAATTTATGGTGGGTCAGTATCTGGTTGCCGAGCAGACCCCTTTGGGAGCTACATTCCCGGTCATCCCTACCAACTGCATTCCACTCCGTCTACACTCGCTGATCGCATTTCCTCGGTATGCGGGGGAAGAGGGATTTTCCCAAATTTCCTTTTTGGGCTGACGACTCGAGAAGTGGGTCGAATTGGGAAAATAGCTGATTTACATTTAGAAAAGTGTCGCTTTCCCATCAAGGTCGACATTTTTCTTTGTACATATTTCAAATGGTTCAACATCAGAAAACCGATAACATTATTTTATTGGAATTGGCAGAGATACTCTGAACAATTTAACTTTTGTAGTTTCTTCGTTTCTTTCAGACAGACCCATCACTGAAGTTTCGGAGAAGAGGAAGCGCTAGGGCAGACCAAACCAATGAGGATAGGAAGGACAAAAATATCAGAAACGATCAAACTACTGGCTCAACATCTAGTAGAAATCCTAGAACATAAAAATCATATTTTGTAAAAATAGCCAATAAGATTCATGTTCTCTTGTTCAACAATCTTGTAACAAAGAAGAAAAAGAGCAAGACGAAATTATAAAAACTGATAGATAGTAACCTGCCATAATAATGAAATATCAGAAAAAAAGATCCTTTGGATCAAAACCCTTGAACTTTAAACTACTAATGTCCATTTTGGAATCACAATTGTCATTCTCGATTTTTTTAAAACTTTAATGTAGTGGACTATACCCTCCGTTGATGTTCCCCTTTTTCTTTTCGGACAGTTCTCAAGTATTCTCCACCCGAAATAAGCCCACATCCTTTTCCCAATTCATCACTTCCGGAGTCCCTCATGGCTCAAGCGACTGCGTATTTTTGCAGTAACATTAACGACCTAAATCCATAAAAGATTGTTTCCTTTCAAATGTTCTACCTTTTTACTGATGACTCCCAATTTACCTTTTTCCTACGTTCTGATTTGCAAGCTTGAATTGTAAATATTTAGTAAAGTTGAACTCCTGGGCCGCTAAAAACTTAACTTGAACACCCTCTCCTCACGCTTACCCTATCCTGCATCAAAGAACACCTACACCTCATAACAGACTGGTGCACTCGCTGGCACATCAAGCTAATTTTAAAAAAAACCATAAGGTGAGGTCAGAAGACAAAACTGCCCTCCAGTGAATATAAACATTACATTGGTAATCGACCATCCAACCAGACCCGCCATCTTGGATTTTACCTACACAGCATGGAACCCCCATACTAAACTATAAAGACAACAACTGAACCGAATTTACGGATTACTCAGACGCCTACTTGAACCTAACAATATACAAAGCATATCTTCAGCATACCGTTTTGACATGAAAGCAGGCGTGCCTCAGGGTTCAATTCTGGGACCTACACTTTTTTGCATCTTTTTAAATGCTTTGCCTACTCCCAAATACTGCCAACTCGCTTTGTACGCTGACGACATCGTGCTTTAGAGTTCATCCTGGAGGATTAGTGCGATGGTAAAAAAACATTAATAACGAGCTGGAAAGAGTAAGATGGTTCTGTACTAGATGGAATTCCAAAACCATTTGTATCCTACTCACGAAGCGTAGCCTCCTGCTCTCCCACAATATATTACTCGAGGGGAAGTCGTTTAAGTGGTTAAGAACTGTGAGGTATCTAGGAATCACTCTTCATACCAAATTGAATTTTGGTGCTCGCACAAGTAATCTGGCAGGCAACGGGAAAGCGGCTATACGAACATTTTCCCTTTGCTCAGAAATAAAGTATTTATTAAACCAATGTTGCTATAAGCATGCCCAGCATGGAATTTTACCTGTAAAACAAATCTTAACAAATTACAGGTAATTCAAAATAAATTTCTGCGGCTTGCCACTGCCTCTCCCAGATATTATAGATTGACAGACCTACACGAGCGAACTAACATGAAATGGGTAGAGGAGGAAATATACGATGAGATCTGCAATTTTTTTAGGCGTATGAGTGTCTCCTCAAATCCCATTTGCAGATCCATAGGTGCAACAAATGCAAATTGGAAACATAAGTGGATCAAACACAATGTACCTGGCTTATAAACTTGTCATAGTTTCAAATTCATCGTTATAAGAATATTTATATACCTATTTATGTATTTTATTATTTATTTTATTTTTTATTTATTTATTTATTTTATTTATTTATTTTGTTTTACTTTGCCTTAAGGTATTAGCCATGCAGTTTTTATTGATGGAGAGAGGACCGAGTAAATAAGGCGCCGAGACCCGACGTTTCCCCCCCCCCGGCCACTACTCCACCATTTATTGGTAAGTTACAACAAAAGTTGATCCTGTATATCTAAAGTTATATTTTCAGATTAGATGCCTTCAGAAACCAAAATAGCAGCGCATACACTTCCTTGTTCCCTGAGGCAACGAGCGTCTCAAGAGAGTAAGGTCTGTCCGGATCGTTAGGACATCAATACCGTTTAGCAGTTTACCTCTTGCGTTTTCAAACCTTGGACATTCCATTACTATATGGTTTAAATCTTCTGGGTAGCCATGTTACACAATTGGGGGACTTCTTAAGCCCGATGCTACACATATGTGCTCCCCACACACCATGGTTGCTTCGTATTTAAGACAATACGGTGAAATAATGTCGAGGTACCCTGACCCCTTGAAACCACGGTTCTTTCGGCACCAAAGGAAATCTGCTTCTATATAGTGAGCCTCCATCAACGGAATTATGGAACTCTTGCCCATCTGAAATCCACCTATGGTTCAGTACACTCTGGCAGTCACTTTTGGTCATTGCGTAGTCGCACGGCTCACCGTCAATGACCTCTTCCTTTGCAAATCAACTTTCTCGTTTTCCTTTATTCCAGAGTGACCTTTGATCCAGCCTAGGGTAACATTTATGCCCCTGGTGAGTAAATTATTAGTTATCACTAAAATGCTGGCCGTTATGTGATCGCATTTACAGTTTACTTTTATTCTTTCTATTTTAGAGATCACACCCTTTGAATCTGTCAAAACTGCGACTTTTTGAACTCATATATTTTCTTGGACGTACTGTAATGCCTTTAACACTGCCAAGGATTCGGACGAAAATATGGAGCATTTTTCCGGAAGGGCCAATTTCTTGTTTACCCTGAGCATCGGGTCGTACAATGCAAAGCCGGCCCTATCGTTTATTAGGGAGCCGTCGGATTTATTTACTTCTCATCTACACTTTTTATATGCATTTATTTAATTCTATATATAGACTTCATCCCTCTGCTTGTGGTTTTTTTTAAGATAAATTTTTTCCCACAAACTATTATGGAATTTCTCTTAACTATTTAAATATCAAAATGATTAGTTTAAATAGTAGGAAGTCAAAGTAAAATGTCACTATCCCTACATTTTAAAATTATTGTATATATTGTTGTGCACATGTACAAATACAAATTTATTCTATTCAAAGCATATTAGAACTTAATAGTCGAACTCTGGAGTTCCGCCAAAGAATCCAATCCTCTCAATCAAAAGTCCTCCATCATATCCTCTTCCCTCCCTTTTACGTTACTTACCAAACTATTCACCCATCTCTCATCCAATTCGTGTAGGACTTGATCCTACTTTTCTTTCTCTGAATTTCTTTTCTCTATCTCCTTGGTCGGATAAGCTCCTGCCGAATTTTTATTTCAATTGTCCTTGATCTGAACTTGCCCCGGTAGCCCGTATTTATAATATTTTCCGCTGATGCTTTTCCACTGCCAAGTGTCATCCCTTATTTTCTCCCTTTTTGATTACGGAGATGTTGGGTGCATGGGTCTTACAAAAGAGCTTGAAGATAAGATGTACGTCTAATAGATATTACAATTAATTAAGGTTTTTAGTTGAGATGAAAAAATGGCAAAAAGGAGGGAAAACTAATAAGGGGGTTGAGATAGGAAGTTGATGTCCGAGTGGATCGAGGTCACGAGAGCTCAAGTGGTAGAGCAGCGGCGTTTCTAGCCGAAGATCGTGGGTTCGAATCCCGCTCGTGCCCTAAACTTTTTTTCATCTCAACTAAAAACCTTAATTAATTGTAATGATTTAATTGGTCAAGCGGACCACCAAATTAGTGAATTTAAAGGTCTAATAGATAGTTTCGTATGTTTTATCTTCGGCTCCTCAAGGATGTCCAACTTGACACAACGTGTACACCGACATTATGTGGCAATACACTTTCTACCGCAGGCTCCTTCCTTTCCTCACTCCATCCATCTTTAAGCCCTCTCTTTTTGATCACTTAGTGATTACAACTTAGCATCATAAATTTTTAACTGGCCCCCTTTTAGATTAATTCCCATAGTAAAATATTTTTATTTCGTATGTTTATGCTTTTGCAAATAGACTTATCAGGCTCGAATCTTTGTTAACACGGTGTAATTTTTTTACTTTTTAAACGGACTTTAAGTACGAGAATAAAATTTATCTTTCATTTAATTCCTGGCTGATAGTACGCTGGCTCTGATAGTACTTGAATTTAATTAGTAAAGGCAATAAAATTGAATGTTAAGAAGATAAATAATTATGTATTCGTAAGTATAAAACTATTTCAGATAATCGTATGTGATTAAAAAAAGATCATTCCTTGCAAAATACTGCAAATAGCTAAGTAACATTAAAACCTAATGCATGTAATAATCTTTTAATTAGTTCAATAAACTGGTTTATTTCACAGGTAATTAAGCCCAGAATATATATTTTGGATTCTGTTAGTTCAATTATCACGTGCCATTAAAATTCCCAGGTACGTTCCACACATATCGTTAAAGCGTTGTAAAATACCATTACAACTTTGTAAAATGCAGTCGAACTTCCAAATATGTTTAGTCATTACCTCATGGTATTGAGGTCGCTTGTTCTTGTATTTTTTGTGATGCAGCGATGAATTCAGTGCCTAATTTACGCACTCATATAAAGGGTTATATCCTGGTTGTTCCAATAATTTTCTATATTAACATGTTTCGGCGTGGAGGAGCTTGATATTGTTTATTTTTAACTTATCATTTGCATATTTTTCATTAGATTCCAAGGATATTTTATGTGGTCTGCAAAGAAACGTAACGAGACCACTCGGTCCGAGTGGATCCGTGGGAAACAGGCAACTTGTTGCTTTTAATTCCACGTTTATTCGATTTCAGGCTACCACGGTAAACAGACGAAAAAGAGGTTCAGACAAGTTAATAGGATCCTTATTCCCCCTAAGAAGGCCTACATCAAAGCGTGACTCCGGATCCAAATTAAAACCATCCCGGTGGGGAAAATAAACAAAAAGTGGTTACCAAATAAATAAAATAAAATAAAACACACAAAATAGACCATTACATAAAGACGTCCATGGACGAGATGCCGGGACATTCATTTCATGAGATCAGACTGAATATATTTCATTAATAACGGGCTTTTAAGTTTAATGTTTATTTATTTGTTTGTGTGTGTGTGTGATATTATTTAGGTTTTCATTTCTACGCTTTAAAAACAAACCAACCAAATCTACCTCGGCTGTCTTCATTTTTCAGACTTATTGAGGCTCTGTAATTTTCAACAAATTTATTAGCAAAAACAAATTAATATCTAATTTTAATTAATCTTTCAATTAATTAAGTTGTTTTTTTGCGTTATGAACTATGCATATTAGCCATGTGACAATTCATATATGTGTGTTCAAATTTAGGAGGGTTATTGTGAAAAAAGGGCCAGAGGCGACGATGGGAATCGAACCCACGACCGCGGCGTGAGAGTCTCTCATGCTAACCACTCGGCTACCGCGGTCCCCAATTAAGGTTTTTAGTTGAGAAGAAAAAGTCAGTGTCACGAGCGGGATTCGAACCTTGACCTTCGGCTAGATACGCCGCTGCTCTACCACCTGAGCTATCGTGACTTCGATCCACTTCATCTCAACTAAAAACCTTAATTAATTGAAAGATATTAATTGGTCAAGCGGACCACGAAAACTAGTGAATTTTAAAGTTAAATGAAGTATATCGTCACTAAAGCTCTCCGTGGCCATTTCATTTGTAGCCGAGAATCAAATAGATTACACGACATTTGAAAAATGGCAAAAAGGAGGGAAAATTCGAGATGTGAGGTTGAGATGGGAAGTTAGTGTTCGAGTGGATCGAAGTCACGATTGCTCAGGTGGTAGAGCAGCGGCGTATCTAGCCGAAGGTCAAGGGTTCGAATCCTGCTAGTGACACTGACTTTTTCATCTCAACTAAAAACCTTAATTAATTGAAATTTTAAATAAAGACACTATAACAATCCTATCTCTCTAAAATTCGGCTGTTATGGAATTGTTTTGGTTATTTTATAGAGTTTATTTGTACTATGACATTGTAAGTCTTCCTGTAATTAACGAAAACCACCTCTGGCTGTCCAATTTGTACAAAATTTCGATTAGCCTAGAAGGAAAGGAATAAAACGAATTCACACATACCTCTACTAAATATGGAAAATGTTTCACCAATTGTCGTTTTTCAGAGGCACAGCGCTGTTAAGAAATGATACAGATGGACGTCGTCAGGTGAGCGGGAGAGGCGCGTAGCCTTCTTCTCATGGATGCCCCACCGGCAAAAAGAGCTTTTTATTGTTTCTGTTTCATTTATCTCGGCACCGGTCGACACCCACATTTATTACCGGCCTCCCTCATTATACTTCCCGAGTGTTTTAATTCTTTTCGTCTCTTTTTCGCTAGGGGTCAAGGATGTCCTCTATACCACCGAAGTCGCCTGGCTTTGTGTAAATACCAGTGGAGATGGTAATCGAAAAAATAAGGACGAGTTATTGTTTTCGAGTTATTAGGCCGGGATCATGTTCGAGCGTACGTGCGCGGAATCCTCATTTAACCCGGATGAATTGTTACCCTTTATCTACCATTCCCATCCCCTACCGAGACACCCCTGATTATTATATTAACTCTGGGAGACTATGAGGAATTCAGGCGGGCCATGCTAGTTCAAAGAGTAAAAAATTATATTTTACACTTGTCGCTTGTCTTAGCTATTCTTCAGGAGAAAGACATAAAGACCAATACGCAAATTAAGAAGATTCAAAAATCAAATTTGAATCATTTTAAAAACACTTGGACATTATTGACGATAATGGAATGCTAGCGATCGGTGGTTTGCAGCTAGCACGTCAGTCTTCTAGCTTATAGTTTTCCTAGTTTCCTAGTTCGGTTCCATTACAAGTAGTAAGGCATTGATTGACTGCTGAGATTCTTTTTCCCGTACGTTCGTGTTTCTATTGAGAGGTTGTTTCGCATTCGAAAATAATATGTATTTTTGCAAGTAGAACCTTTGAAACAGTATTGGCCAATTGCGTATTCGATCGGCGAGTCTCGCCATCCTTTCACACTGCATGATGATGATAAGGAGAGGGATACTAGAAGTAAAGGCGGGGGTTTGCTACTCCCGAAGTCATGCATTTTGTTGGTTTATTGTACTTTTGCTAGTTTCTTAGTGCAATTGACTCGATCCTTCATTTAAGAAGTAATAGGTCAATGTCAATGCTGCAACTGTTTAGCCTGAGCCTTCCTTTGTATTCAAGATTGCATCTCCATTAAGCAGTTGCATCACAATCGAAGATAATAAGGGAGGTAGTTTCTTCCTCCTCATTTCATAATTCATAATCCAAAAATGGGGTTATTGTTGAATACAGCCATGTGGTGTAGGTTTTTCTCAGATGCCACTGAACGATGATTATAATTTAAGGATACTAGGAAGCTAGAGTTTGGTATTTATGCACTGCAGCTTTTTGGTTTACTGTACTTTTCCTAGATCTTTGGTTCAGTTCAAGTCACCAGATCGTTCTTTTAATGAAGTAGGTTATTACTACAATTCTGGTTTCTAGGTCATCTTTGTTCACTACGTTATGTATACCAGATTTAGCGGACGATTCGCATCCAAAGATAGTATGGGAGGTAGTTTCTTCCTCCTCGTTGCCTAACATAAAAATGGGGTCATCGATGAATGCGCCCATGTTGTGTAGGTGTTTTTTTTTTCAGATCTCTCCTGAATATTACTATCTCTAACCGTATCAACGTGTCTGCCAGTTTTGGTAAGGGTTCTTTAATCATGAGTTTACTGTTTCTGGCACCTTTGGAGTTTGCCCACTTCTTTTGTTTTGTGTGGACCATATTTAGATGGTAGAGTCAGAGTATGATCATGTAATCACAATTATAGGTTAAGGGTCTTGCGCATCCTCCGTTGAAAAGTTTATCTGCGTATACAATTCTCAGAATTCTTTTCTGCTCTGTCACCAAAGCAGTGTTGTATTGTCAGATTTTTATGTGTTCTCAGGTTTTGGTGATTTTGGATGCTAATTTACTAGTTTGGCTGTCAGCATGCTAATGCTTTTAGGGCTGCTTGAGTGCCCGATCTTATAAACTTTGTTGTATTTCAGCTTGAAAGACAGAGGAGTACTTCCCTAATGAGTTCGATTGCTCGGTCTCTTAACATATAATCGTATTTGATTTTCTACAAATTTCTTTTTCTCCTCTAGTCTGTTTATAAGTTGGCGCAAAGTTATGGGGGATTTTATTTCATTATTTTAAATATTTAGTCCTTTATCTATGTAGTTGTACCAAAATATTAAGCCCGGCCATTAAGGCTAAAAAGTATTAATAATACACGAGGTTGAACAATGGAATGTGTAAGAAATGGATGGTCCATTTTCCTATCATATTATGTTTGGTATATGTACCTATGTAAAATTCCAGTTGTATAATGGTAAAAGAGATATCACGATAATTACAAATAAATGTAGTATAATATTTTTAATTTTTAAACTTTTTATACATATTCTTGAGTTTTCCAAAACGTCCTGAGCACAAAAGGCGGTATGACCGTTCTGAAAGCTGGTCTGGTCGGGAGCCAGCCGAAGTTTTATCCCGTCTAACCATAAAATAACAAATCCGGTACCAACTCTAAATTAGACCCGGGATATATCGGTGCATAGCCATCAGGATGGAGTCGGGTGTGAGAGAAGAATATAAAGAGGAGTGGAGGAGAGGAGGGTTCGGCGTGATAATTGAACGGGTTCCACGGCCGGATGGAGAGAAGGCTGTTTCATAAATGCCTAATCGTGCCTGTGGCCAAAAATAAACAAAAGAAGAATAAAAGAACCTTATATAAAAATAACTGACGATATAGATTAGCAATCCCGATGGCTGGAGCAATAAAAAGAATCCGGTCGCTATTTCAGATAAATTAAACGGATCGAGAACGGGAGAAATATGCCCGTCAAAATCGCAAATTTTCATATCGTATAAAATAAACTATACAAATAAATTAATTGGACGCTTCGTTACGTCATAAGCTACAAAAGGCTCATCTTCTGGCAGAATATAGAAAACATTATAAATTATTAGATTGAATCTTATACATTTCTTTTAAAGTTTCCTTCTCTTTCAAGTATTCTTTATTCAGACCGAATTTTTGTGTTATTGAAATTTTTTTATTGAGGTTTTACTCTATTCAACAAGCCTAAGTTGATATAATATTCACAGTTCATTTTTCATTGTTATTTGTGTTTTTGCTGTTTTTCGGTGTAAACCTCTTACAGCGTTTGCTTTTATTTTATTTTTTTATTGATCACATTATTTGTTTTAATAAATTTCCAAATTAATTTTTTTTTCAACCACAGCAGGTCCCCTTACACAGATCTTTAGCCGTTATAATTATAATTATATTATAACGTTTCCGGGATGGACCGCTGGGCGGCGATCTGGTTTTACAAGGATTTTTTTTCCCTGAGAGGTTTTATAACAATTTTTAAAGAGAATCTTTGGCGGTTAGAACATTTTTAAACAATATAAATAGACCATTTTGACTAGTAATAAAAACATGAGCACAATGAAACAATTAAATAAAAAGATTGTTAAATAGATCTTACTAGCTTAAATAAACCTGTTAGACTATATACCTTTATAAATCTAAACAAACATTTCATATAAATTATTTATATATATACATTAAAACTTAGACTAGATATTTCATTTAAGTAATTCAATTGTATACTCATATAAACATGAGAATAATGAAAACAAAATAAATTAATTTACTAAAACATGCTAGCTTAAATAACCTTAACGGACTATATACATTTATAACTTTAAATACAACTTCTCAAATATACAATTTAAATATGTACATATATATTAACATAAAAAACAAGACATTTTATTTAAATAATTCGATTATATACATATACAGTTATTAATAAAATGACTATATTGACTAGGGAATTAACATAGTGATCATAAAAACATATGAATAACAAACTTAACTACTTAATACTACCAGTTTAAATACATGATTAAACCATATACATTTATTTTTAAACTACCATTTTAAATAAATAATTTAACTATATACATTCATAATTTACACAATCAGTTCAAA